TCGCCTACATCGTCCATATAGGACGACTCGGGAACTCAACTCCTACCCCGGGCAGCTCACCTATCCCCTTATGCCCAGGGGAAAGGTATCAAGCCGTTTGACAGCTGATGCTGGCTGTCAAACCGGCTTTTACGCAAAACAGGCGGGAGGCAGCAAACAGCTGCGACCGACGAAATCGCCTGCCACCGGAAGTCTCCTCGCCACGCATCCAAATTTTGATCCTATGACTATGAGGATGCGAGAACAGTCATAAGTATGAAAAATAATCATGAGTCATTTTTGTCAGTGGCATTATAACTTTGAACGGTCACTAAACGAATGATTGTAAGTCGAGGACTACCTGTTGTTCTTTGCAGGCTTAGCTCACCAAACAAAAGGGATTTTTTCCTAACAAATATAATATAATCAAAAACTAAAGTTTTCTTCTAACTTAATTCAATTGCTGAGTCTTTTTTCATAATCAAGTATTACTTTTGTTAAAAAAGAAAGACAAAAGGCCACCAACTGCTCAGGAGAGCCCAAGGATTTCCCCTTACAACCTCACCTTTTATCATTTCTTTTAAAAAATCAAAATTCAATATTGCACTAATTTACAAAAATGCCTATGAGTCCTAAATTTTTGTAGTGGAAAAATAAACAATGAATGATTGAAGTATTTTATTGTCTGTACAGGTAGTCCTCCACTTACGATGGATCTCCCTGGGAATATTTATGATCCAGTTCCAAATTTCCAACAGCCCGAGGGAGGGGCAGTGGTCACATGACTATCAGTTGCTCAGCATTGGGACCACATTTATAGTCATTTGTATTATCCTATAGTCATGTGATCCATGTTTTATGACATTTCTGCCAAAAAATACTTTGGCACATAAAGGCATTTGCTTAATAAGCATAGTAAAATGCATTAAATTGAGTTGGTTACATGTATGATCCATTTTACAACCATCATGACTTACGACACTGATGGGCAGGCTCCATTAAGGTTGTAGGTTGGGGACTACTGTATCTATTAGCCATAAAAACCTCAAAGAAGCTAAGATAACAATAGCAATTGCATTTATATACCGCGCCACAGTACTTTACAGCACTGTCTGAGTGGTTTACAGTGTCAGCATGTTGCCCCCAATAATCTCGGTCCTCATTTTACCGACCTCTGAAGGGTGGAAAGTGGAGTCAACTTTGAGCTAGTCATGTTCGAACTCCTGGTGTGTGGACAAAGTTAGCCTGCAATACTGATAGTAAGAAGCATCTTGTGAATGCTGAGTCAGTTAGAAAGGATGATCAGTGACATTACCATAAATTGGTATTTTGTTGCTATAGGTAATCCTCTACCTACAATGATTCAGTCGGTTATTGTTCCAAGTTACAGCTCAATAGATAGTGGTCACAATCCTTCAGGCTTCAGCTGCCCCAGAAAATTTGGGGTCATATGATCACAATCTGGGTGCTTGACAATACATTTACATTTACAACTAGTTGTCAAGCCACTCATGTAATAATGATGAACTAAGACTTGTAACCACCTAATTGGCCACCTAATGAGAAGGAAGGACTCACTGGAGAAGGGCCTAATGCTGGGAAAGATTGAGGGCAATAGAAGAAGGGGACGACAGAGAATGAGGTGGCTGGATGGAGTCACTGTGGAGTCATTCTTCCACAATGTAACTAAATTAGTGGACCAGCGAAATGCAGTGGACATAGTATACTTGGATTTCAGTAAGGCATTTGACAAAGTCGACCACAGCCTACTTCTTGGTAACCTAGAAAAATGCAGGATAGATAGCATCACCACTAGATGGATTTGTAACTGGCTGACAAAGTGCACTCAATGTGTAGTCCTTAATGGAACTACATGTACATGAGGGAAGTAAGCAGTGGGGTATCCCAAAGTTATAAGTGGAATCTTTCCAAACAACTACTTCTCACTCCCCAAAAATGTAGGTATCCATTGAGGATATCTCCATAGCACTTATCCAGTAAATTTTCCTACAAATTGGGACATAATGTCTCTTGATAGCTGTCTTCTAGTTGCATGTAATAGCTCTATTCCGCAAACTCCAGCTTTTCTGAGATAATCCAATTCATAATACCCCCTTCAGTCTCCTCTAGCAAATCTCCAATTTTCAAGCCAAACTCTTTCTCTTTCAAATCTATTAACCACAAATTAATTTCCAAACCATCCAATTGCATGACTGATTTAACTACCGTTGCCTGTATTTGCCTTTTATTTAATTTTTCATTTAAAACTTGTAAGTTGGCAAACATTTTTTCAAAAGTTTCCAAGAAGGCTTTAACATTAAAACATCTAGTCCTATCTCCCTTTTATAGATTTTTTTTTGGGGGGGGGCATTGTAGAGAATATATAATGTATAATATTAAAGTCCTTAATTTATTGTTGCTTTGATTTTAATATAGTCCAAATCTCTCATATAGCTAAGCTTTCACAGCAAAGTGTATATAGTTCTTTCTCCAGCATGAGGATGGATAATCCACAGATTGGGTTTCCTGAAGTCCCTTCTACCCAATTAGACTAAGAC